CGATGTTGATGTTTTGATTTATAAATTTTATTCTTCCACAGGAATTTTGAGTTTTATGGAGATATTTATATACTTGGTGATATTTATAATTCATCTTTCAAACTATCATTTGTGTTTATTTATGTAAACCTACTATATATAATGTATTAAACGATGTCCGTTTCTACAGTCGGACGCACCCGTCATTCTATTAAGCCCACTCCCTTTCTCCCTTATTGTCGAATACTCTTATAACTACCCTATTTCTTTTGTAGAGATCTCTACAGATGTAATAGACGACACCCAGGATGTTGTACATCCCGACATCATTCGAGTTACACCTTCAGAAGGTTATTCTGCTGTTTCTGGTAAGTTTGTGTGTATGTATGTTTGTATACGTACACGAATACATATCTACAAATTTAAGCCTCTCCAGTTAAATATATATATATATATATATTTATTTAATTAAATAAATTTAATTAAAGTAAATATCATTTTTAAAAGATTAAAACGAAAAAATTCTTCATTATTGCTAATTTATTACCTTATTCCCGTTGTTTTTATTATTTAGTTTGAAAACAAATCTTATCCTAGAAAGACACCCCTAAGGTTCACACATGCCCCCCCCTAGAATTTAGAACTACTGGCCTGAGACAGAACAATCATGGTTCACACATGGTCCTCCATAGTAATTTAGGACTATTGATCTGAGACATAACAATCTAGGTTCACACATGGTTCTCCATAGTAATTTAGAACAACAGGCCTGAGACATAACAATCAAGGTTCACATATGGTCCTCCCTAGTAATTTAGAACTATTGGCCTGAGACATAACAATCAAGGTTCACACGTGGTTCTCCCTAGTAATTTATGACTACTGGCCTGAGACATAACAATCAAGGTTCACACATGGTTCTCCCTAGTAATTTATGACTACTGGCCTGAGACATAACAATCAAGGTTCACACATGGTTCTCCCTAGTAATTTATGACTACTGGCCTGAGACATAACAATCAAGGTTCACACGTGGTTCTCCCTAGTAATTTATGACTACTGGCCTGAGACAGAACAATCGGCCAACAGCACACGCCGTCTAAGTGCCATTCCTACTTGAATAACGAGATGAAACGATACGGTAAACACGCTCCGCAGCTAAATCTCACAGTTTTGAATTTTGGACTTTCTAATCTGTAACCTGGTCATTGCAGCAAGTTCGAACACAAACGATGCGTTTTAGGATTGTCAACTGTAAATGGCTGTATAAAATGTAGTTATATTATGTTGTAGTTACGAATAATTTCTTAAGCCTTAAATTAGTAGCAGAAACTAGCACAGCGTCCTTTATATTCGTTTTTTTGTTTGTTTGTTTATTTATTTTTCCTCGTGCACGAAGTCCTTTTTTATGGCCTTGAAATATTTCATTCACTACATTATTCAAAGATTTAGTTTGTAAAGATAGTCAAAAGTTCCGAATGTTCTAGAAAGTTCCCTTAAATCACCTCGTTTTCTCCCAAGTAAATATTGATGTCATTTCTTTCTACAGAAAAAAGTACTTTCCCCGGCTCGGCGTCATCTCTTCCGTTGCCACGACCACTTGTGGCTATAAGCTTGGTTTTTTTGCTTGGAATGTGCAGCCACTAGACCGTCACATCCCTGGCTCCAGATGAAGAGGTATGTGGGAAAAGACTATGATGATGGTGTTTACCCAGAACTCGATGTTCAGCAATTTTCTTAGGAAAACTCTTTTCAGTGACAAAATATAATATTTATAAGCAGCCACCTGTCACTGACACTGTACCCTCATATCTATTCGTGTTGATTATCAAGAACAATAGGAAAAGCGATAGCTCTCACAGTGTGCCAAAGTTATCATAGAGGATACATCAGTACCACGCCCCCTAGCGTTGCTCAAATAGGACTCCTAACCAGCTTTCCTGAGACTGGAACTTTCATCTTCCGCTCTTTGCTTTTGTAGTCAGTTTCACTGGATCATAACTGGTGGCAGCCGGTAAAGTTATCCGGATTAAAACATGTTGTAATATCTTGTCAAAGTTGATAGAATTAAGATTTAATTTAAGATTGAAAGCTCTTATTCACAACTAATCATTACGTCAAAGTCAGGGTAACCATGTTATCTCAGTGCTTTGTCTATATTGATTTCACAAACTCTGGCAAAGTTTATAACTCCCACACGTTGCGTTAAGATATCTGTATATTAATGCTTAACTAATGACGTCCTCTGGTGAGAAACTGCCAAACTTGTTTTGGTGCTGACTTCCGGAATCCCTGATATTCTTCTTCATAATACTACTGTCACGGAGTTTAGATATTCCAACGTGTGCTCTCATTAAAATGTCCATATAAGTCACTTTCGAGAAGTATTCTAGTCACATCTTTGCATTATCTTCTTTTGTAACATTCAGGAGTTTCTCATTTACAAAATGCCGTAGTTAAGAAATTAGTAATGTTTTAAATTTTACGTAGTTGCATCAAATTTAATAAACCTTATCTTCAAGAAATCCCTTGTTCTATCTTATCCTTAGCATAAAATAAAATCTTAACTATTCAAAGTTAAAAACGACCGTAGCGTTGTTCTCTTCACAAAGTAACTATTTAAATTTAATTTTTTCTATCTCTCCTAATCGTAATTTTCAGGAGTCAATACTAAAAGCGTACGGTACGCTACTATCATTACAGTGATCACGTTAGTTGGATCATCTCGGAAAGGATAAACTTTAATCAGTAGGCTGCAGAAAAACGTTGAGTTAATTCAATAGTGTAACAAGGACAAAAACTGAGATGCGGACGACATGGCTTTTACGTTATATTTTATCTTTTGTTTTATATTTATTATCTTGTCTTTAAGCCCGTCTTTACGTTATATTTTATCTTTTGTTTTTATATTTATTATCTTGTCTTTAAGCCTATCTTTAAATTTTCGAGAAATTAGTTATTTATTTTATTATTAGCTTCAAATTATATTCCTTACATCAAGCATAAAATAATAAGTAGGAACGTTTATTGTGTAAATTGGATTTTTCATTACTGGAGCGTAGATATTTATATGCTTTACTGACCAATGGTCAGTTAATTACCAACATTCACTTGTCTAACTTTATTCTTTTGAATCATCTTCAAAATCACATAGCTCATAGTAATAGTTCACTCTATAATAACACCAATGAACCTTAACAGTCGCTAGTATGTACATAAGTCTAGCCTCTATAATAACACCAATGAACCTTAATAGTGGCTAGTATGTACATAAGTCTGGCCTCTATAATGGCACCAATGAACCTTAACAGTCGCTAGTATGTACATAAGTCTGGCCTCTATAATGGTACCAATGAACCTTAATAGTGGCTAGTATGTACATAAGTCTGGCCTCTATAATGGTACCAATGAACCTTAAAAGTCGCTAGTATGTACATAAGTCTGGCCTCTATAATGGTACCAATGAACCTTAATAGTGGCTAGTATGTACATAAGTCTGGCCTCTATAATGGTACCAATGAACCTTAATAGTCGCCAGTATGTACATACATCTAGCCTCTATAATGGCACCAATGAACCTTAATAGTGGCTAGTATGTACATAAGTCTGGTCTCTATAATGGCACCAATGAACGTTAATAGTCGCTAGTATGTACATAAGTCTGGCCTCTATAATGGCACCAATGAACCTTAATAGTCGCTAGTATGTACATAAGTCTGGCCTCTATAATGGTACCAATGAACCTTAAAAGTCGCTAGTATGTACATAAGTCTGGCCTCTATAATGGTACCAATGAACCTTAAAAGTCGCTAGTATGTACATAAGTCTGGCCTCTATAATGGTACCGATGTACCTTAACAGTCGCTAGTATGTACATAATCCTAGTCTCTATAATGGTACCGATGTACCTTAACAGTCTCTAGTATGTACATAAGTCTAGCCTCTATAATGGTACCAATGAACCTTAACAGTCTCTAGTATGTACATAAGTCTAGCTTCTATAATGGCACCAATGAACGTTAACAGTCGCTAGTATGTACATAATCCTAGTCTTTATAATGGCACTAATGAACCTTAATAGTTGCTAGTATGTACATAATCCTAGTCTCTATAATGGTACCAATGAACCTTAATAGTCGCTAGTATGTACATAAGTCTGGCCTCTATAATGGTACCGATGTACCTTAACAGTCGCTAGTATGAACATAATC